ACTTATCATATCTAATAAACATATTAAAATAAACGTAGTTGAGATACAACACAGTTATTTATTTGTTGTTTGTGTTGTATACAACTTTGACGGGCTAAGGATATTTGAGTGACTTTTTAAAGATGACTTCACTATTTAATCATTCAAAATAGTTTGGCTGGTTCTATATTAAAATAACCATATCATCAATGATTTCTTAATGGTGGTTATCAAAATATAATTATCACTTGGCTAGTTTTGTTTTTGAATTTGTAATTCTGAATTTTGAATGTGTTCTTTAAATTATTTGGATTTGTTGGTGCATGTTAATGGTAATAGTTGCAAGTCTTATACTATTCATAGTCATCCCTTGCGTTGCTTTTGCATGTTTTTCTAAGAACAGTGGCCCAAAATTTGCACAATTTTCATTTCTATGTTTAAATCGATACTCAATTATATTTTGTTCTCATTATTAGTTATTAGGTAAGCTGTTTGAGTAGGTGATAGTTGATAGATATATACACACTGAGGAGAGTCAAAACTAAAGAGTAGTTGCAAAAGAAGGAAGAGAGACCAAATTAAAGAGTAGTTGTAAAAGAAGGAGGAGAGTCAAAATTCAAGTTGACTCTATTTTTTATTAGTTGGCTCTGTGCTCATGGTGTATAGTTATCAGGTAAGCTGTTTGAGTGAGGTAAAGAAGGAAATGAGGATTGGTAGGAAAGCAGGATTGGTATAGTTATCAGGTAAGCTGTTTTAGATTGATAGGATTGGTTGATAGAAAGGAGGAGAGACAAAAATTGGTAAAACATAATTATTTGGTTAACCATAATTATTTTCATTAGATATATTAGTATAATAGCTGTTTGAGTGAGGTTATACATATTTGTATTTCATCAAAAAAGATTAAAAGTATTATTATTGGAAGGAAAAACATAATAGATAAAACTGGTTGGTGTTCATTGGTTTGGTGTTCAAAAAAAAAAAAAAGTTATACACATTGTGTTTACTGTCAACTGTCATGGTTGATAAGGTTGGTTTCAAAATTATTTGGCTATTATACACAGGAAAAACATAACAGATAAAAGGCATTTTCTTTCCAAAATTTTCACTAAATCAAGGATGAATAAAAAATTTCACCAAATCTCCAATAAAAATACTTTTAATCTTTTTTGATAAAATTTTAAAATAGAGTATGGATATGAGATGGTTTTCTTTCATAAAAAAATGGTATGGATAGGAGATGGTTTTTAGGATAAATTATACACAGGAAAAACATATTTGGCTATTAGATATATTTGTATAATAGCTATTTGAGTGAGGTTATACACATTTGTATATTTGGCTATTAGAAGGAAAAACATAATAGATAAAGCTGGTTTGGTGTTCATTGGTTTGGTGTTCAAAAAAAAAAAAAGGTTATATACATTGTGTTTACTGTCAACTGTCATGGTTGATAAGGTTGGTCTCAAAATTATTTGGCTATTATACATGGGAAAAACATAATAGATAAAAAGCATTATTCTTTCCAAAATTTTCACTAAATCAAGGATGAACAAAAAATTTCACCAAATCTCCAATAATAATACTTTTAATCTTTTTTGATAAAATTTTAAAATAGAGTATGGATAGGAGATGGTTTTCTTTCATAAAGATAGTTTATCCTTTGATCGTATAAGTATTCTCCTCCCTAAAAAGAGTTTGGATTCTATTACAAATATTGTTTATCCTAAAGTGTTGTTGTAGTATTCTATGTAGATTAAATCACGTTTTATTAGAAGGTAACCATATAGATTTATTTCTACTAATTATATAACTTTTTATAAAATTTCAATTTAATAATAATTTCAAATATGGACTTTTGTAGCATTGGATCGAAAAATCTATAGAGCTTAAAAGGAGAAATACGACCAGCTTGCTTCGATGGGGATGTAATAAGGTAATTTCAATCTAAAAGTATTTTGATATGCATATTTTCAACAAATGAACTAATCTATATTTTTTTTTGTTTCCGCAAATTACCAGATTGTTGTGCATTTTCCTTATTGGGGATACATACAAGTTGATACAAAGACTTATTGAAAAGTAATGAGGAGGAAGTTTGAGAAAACACATATTTGAAGACATGTTATTGACACATCTTTTGTAAAGCACACCTATTTTGAAAAGTTTTAACGTACTTTTTGTAAAGTTTTAACCCACTCTTTTGGTGTATGACAATATAATTTTAATTTCTGTTTTTTGTTCAGTGTTTACATTTTTTTTTACTGCCTCTTATATTTTGATTTGCAATATTGGTGTACATTATAAATCTTATATGTTTGTTTCTTAATTTACATTAAGATCAGGAGGAGTTATTATTTTATTTGAGTTTTATAGAGCGTGTAATACAAATAAAATTGTTATAAGTTCATTAAGAAGAAAAATATTTCAATATATTTTTTCAGTATCTTTATCAAAAAATGACACAAACTTCACAAATTATTTATAACTGCATTTTAATCTTAAAATTATTTGCGCCGTGCCTTTATAAATTATAACTGCATTTTAATGTTAAAATTATTTATACCGTGTCTTAGGCAGAGGCATACGCTAGTATATATATATAAAGAACAATGCAAGCTTGATAATCCATAATGAAAATAAAATAAAGGAAGAGGATTTTCTTTAGTCAAAAATTTAGACTAGAAGGAATTGTTTGGACCTATTGGACTTACTATGACTCTATTTCGATGATTCAAATCATTTATTTATTTTTGTTAACACTTCGTGTATTTCATTTATAAAAAAAATTAGGTTGATCCAATAAACATAATTTGTTCAATTTATTATTTTTGTTATCAAACAAATATATGATTCATTTTTTAAAAACACAATTGCCATACTTTTTTTAGTGAATTAAAAAATATATGATTCATTTTTTAAAAACACAATTATCGTACTTTTTTAGTGAAAAAACACAGTAAATTGAATAAGTTACAGTTATCGAATCGACTTAATTTTTTTTTTGGATGAAATAAATGAATTGTCCAATAAAATAAATGATTTAAATTATTGAAATGAGACCTGTAATAAGCCCCACAAGCCCGAACAACTTCCTCTAGTCTAGATCTTGGACTGGAAGCAACCTTCCTCCTAAAATAAACAACACAAAATAGGTATAATCATTTTTGTTTTTGACAGTGATTAATTCTCTAATTATGAGAATAAAAATATACAAAAATAACCAATTGAATTATGTCAATTATTTTACATAAATCAAAAGTAATTAAAAAAAAATGTGCTATCAAACGCATCTTATGCTTTTATTTTTAATAATTCTATGAGTACCATTAGATCATATTTTGAGAATATCCAATAAGCACACTTAAAAACTAAATAATTAAATAAAACATGAGAAGAGATAAGTAGTTGCAAAACCGAGTGCTGTAATACATTCAACCTATAATTAACATTAAAATATCTCAACTAATACTTACATCACTCAAATTTGACCATGAATTTCTTCTATATATCAATCATGCAAGACTAGAAAAGATAAAATGAAAGTTATTGAGATGTGGATGCGGCAAGATTATAAAAGACAAAATTAAGAATGAGTATGTTCGAAAATAGGTAAGAATAATATCGATAGAAGATAAATTGAGAGAGAATAGAATAAGATAGTTTTGTCATATACAACGCAGACTAACAAAAATAGTAGTGAAAATATATGATATAGTGACGGTAGAAGAAAGTATTAAAAAAAAGCAACAGACCTAAGTTGACAAGAACTAATGTAATAAATAGAAATATGATTTTTTTTTTTATAAAAATTTAATAGAGTCAAGTAAAGAATAATTCAGGTAACTCAACTTATTTTACGAGAATTAAGCCATGGTTTGGTTGGTTGGTACGAATCACGCAGCAACTAAAAACGGTAATGTGGTAAATCAGTGGGCTGCAGATTCGCTGTATCATAATGCTATCCCAATTGTCTGTCCCTTTATTCTTAAAGTATTAAAAAAAAGCAACAGATCTAAGTTGACAAGAACTAATGTAATAAATAGAAATATGAATTTTTTTTTTTTTTTATAAAAATTTAATAGAGTCAAGTAAAGAATAATTCAGGTAACTCAACTTATTTTACGAGAGTTAAGCCATGGTTTGGTTGGTTGGTACGAATCACGCAGCAACTAAAAACGGTAATGTGGTAAATCAGTGGGCTGCAGATCCGCTGTATCATAATGCTATCCCAATTGTCTGTCCCTTTATTCTTGTGATGACACGTATATATCAATCAAAACCAATTATTACTATGTTAATGGTCCCCATCTCTGTTCACATTTACATGAGTCATAATTCGCTTACGGCGATTTATTGACAACTTTGACTAATCTTCATTCATGGTCTCCATGACTACTCTACGGAAACGGAACAGCATGGATGAAAGTAGAATATTCATACGAGAAGAAACAGAAGAGAGAAGAGATTGTGTTCAATTGATGTCATTACAATACAAAGCTATGGGTATATATATAGGACTATGAGGAGTGCTGTATAAGGGAAAGAATAAAAAAAGGAAAGAATAAGGTAGGGAGAGAATAAGGCAAGATTTGAACATACCTAATAAGGAGGAGCCTATAATCTAAATATGGAATACAAAGAATATATATAAAGAGTGTTGTATAAGGGCAAGAATAAGAAAATGAAAGAATAAGGTAGGGAGAGAATAAGACAAGATTTGAACATACCTAATAGGGAGGAGCCTATAATCTAAATATGGAATACACAGAATAATATATATATATATATATTAACATCCTCCCTCAAACTCAAGGTGGCAAGGTAGAAATCAACTTGAGTTTGGAAACCAAATCTTGGAAATGTCCAAGTAGAAGGGTCTTGGTGAAGATGTCAGCAATCTGATCAACAGTAGAAGTAGGAAGAAGATAAATAGTGCCTTGAGTAACATGTTGGCGAATAAAACGACAATCAATCTCAATATGTTTGGTTCGATCATGGAAAATATCATTATGTGCAATTTATACAGCACTACGATTGTCACAATATAAGGGAATGACAATAGAAGAAGGAACACCCATATCTGAAAGTAACCAACGAAGCCAAAGGAGCTCTTGAGCGGTATCAGCAAGAGCACAATATTCAGATTTGGTGCTGGAGCGCGAGACCAAGGTTTGTTTCTTGCTACGCCAACATATAAGAGAATCACCCAAGAAGAAACAGAATCTCATGGTAGAGCGACGATCAGTTAGATCACCAGCCCAATCAGCATTGGAATAGGCACATAATAAAAGTGCAGAACTAGAAGAGTAGTGAAGACGATGAAATAAAGTGCCTTTAACATAGCGAAGAATGCGGAGCACAACAACATAATGTGTAGATCGAGAAGCTGACAAAAATTGGCTAACAAAGTGAACAACATGTGCAATGTCAGGTCGAGTAACAGTGAGATAAACAAGACTACCTACTAATTGTTGATACAAGGTGGCATTGGGAAGAGGTGTGTCGTCCATGGGTGTGAGGTGTACATTAGGCTCGAGAGGATTAGAGATGGTTTTGCTGTCAGTGAGGCTAGCCTTTGCTAGAAGATCAGAAGCATATTTGGCTCGAGAGAGATAATAGCCATCGGAGCTAGAAGAGATCTCAAGGCCCAAGAAATATGTGAGAGTACCCAAATCCTTCATCTCAAAGTGTTCACTAAGAGACTTTTTGAGTGCAGAAATTCCGTGAACATCATCACCAATTTATTTTGAATTTTGAAACCAAAATTAAAAATAAATAAATAAATTACAAAATTTTTTAGCCCAAAAAGATAAGTATTGGATCGAACAAGCATAACTCAACCTCACACCATGCACCTGCGCCCATTCTCAGGTCCAGCCCAGCCCGCCTGATCGACCGACCGACCGGACAGACGGCGACGACGTTGCGTATGTGTGGTTTTTGTTTGGGGTCCAATAGATCTAGCCCACTTTACCCATAACCTCACCCTTTCACAAACTTGGGTACCCCTTGGGGCTCATTCCAAGTATCCTAAGGTAAGGTATATAAACCTATTCAAAACCTTAAGCCTTTCTAATGTGGGACAAGCACATTTCACCAATGAGTAGGAAACCCACCTAAAGCCATTCCACAAACCTGAAAACGTGCGTTGAATTCTCATTCATCTGGAAATAGTTTTGAGCAACCAAATACACGGTTTTATTTACAACGCGACATTAAACATGAACCCAATAAAAAACGTTAAAAATAACGCTTGGGTCCCACCTTAAGTAATGCTCAAAGTTAGTAAACAATAAGGATTTTCTAAAACCATTTTCTAACAATCCCCCACATGAATGGAATTCACGATAAGAGACATGCAACAAGATGCAAACAAAGAAAGAGTACATTAAAAAGATACATCACATCGAGATAGATAGCTTTTGGTTTTGAATCTCCTCTAGTGAAAGACTATCGAACTTACTGGCTAACTAGTGGACTAGATAGACTACACATAGTGATCTGTAGATATAGTTTGGTTCTTACGGTTGTGTTCATTTTGGCCCTGAACAACACCTGGTAATACGTGAATGCTCTAGAGAATTTAGCCTTCTCAATCTCACAGAACCGGCTCAGTTCAAATTCATATTTGTGATTTCTTATTAAGAGTATCCTGCTATACCCCACTTGGATGTCCAAGCTATAAAAATCATTAAAAGTAAAGCTTATCCTACTAACATTGCAGGTATCACTCTTCATATCATAGAAATAGGTAGGAGTAAACTTCTTTAGTGATACGTGAAGTCATTTATAATTCAATTGTCCCTTTGAACTTAGATCTTGGGATCTCCAGTCAACTAGGTTAGGTTGCCAAAATGGCAACTTTTAAGTAATAGGCTTTAATTTCATTCCCCTCGATAAATGGAAATGGCAACTTTTAAGTAATAGGCTTTAATTTCATTCCCCTCGATAAATGGTACACTTGCTCTCTAGCTAGCCCTTTGGTCAATGGATCCGCAATATTCTCCTTTGACTTTATATATTCTATGGAAATTATTCCATGTAAAAGCAAATGCCTAACGGTATTATGTCTTCGAGGAATGTGTCGAGACTTACCGTTATATATATAATTCTATATCCGTCCTATTCCTGCTTCATTATCACAGTGAATTAGGAATGGCAACGGGGCGGGGCGGGGCCGGGGATCACCCTCCCCGTCCCAGATCCCCGATGGCAGAACTTCCCCCCGTCCCCGTCCCCGTCCCCGACGGGGAACCCACTACCGCCCCTACCCCCGCCCCCTAACGGGGATCGGGTTTCCCCGGCCCCGAAAACTCCCTGAGCTTCAACACTAGAACAACAAATCAGATCTAAATTTAAATTTACAGATTTAAATTTAAAAAAACAAATTACAGATCTAAATTTACAGAGAGAACAACGAGGGAGAGATCTAAATTTACAGATCTGAATTTACAAAAAAAATTACAGATCTAAATAATAACAACATATATATATATATATATATAACAATCATCAAAAAAAAATTAATCATAGATATATATATATATATACAGATATATATATATACACACAACAATCATCAAAAAAAAAATTTAGATTTGAGGGAGGGCTTGCGGACGGAGGGAGGGCTTCATGAATCACGATCTGATGAAGGGCTTCTCAGACGGAGGGCTTCTTCTTCTTCAGATCTGTTCAGACGGAGGGTTCACGATCTGACGGAGGGCTTCAAGATCTGACGGTGACGGACGGAGGGCTTCATGGACGGAGGGATCTGACGGACGGAACGCTTCACGGACGGAGGGAAAGGGAGAGGAGAGAGAGAGATGAGACTGAGATTTGAGTCAGTGAGTGAAGGAGAGAGAGATGAGGGCCACGGTGAGAGAGAGAGACACACAGAGGAAGTGAAATGGGAAAATAGGTGTGGTTTATATATATATATATGAGGGGTAAAAGAGTATTTTCACTTTGGGGATAATTCGGGGCCGGGGCCGGGGCCAAGGACGGGCTGGGGCTTGAACACTGATCACCGTCCCCGGCCCAAAATTGGTCGGGGATTTAATTTTGAATACCATCCCGTCCCCACGGGGGTATTTTTCAGAGAAAAATCATCCTAATCGGGGTCGAGGGATCGGGTCCCCGTCGGGCCGGGTTCAAATTGCCATCCCTACAGTGAACACATATAACTGGCATAGGTTTATGACACATTGGAATGTCTTCTAAGAAATTATGAAGTTATTCTACTTCTTCTATTATTTTATCTAATGCGATAAACTCAGATTTCATTGTCGACCTTGCTATGTATGTCTGCTTGGAGGATTTCCAAGAGACTACAACACCTCTTAGGGTAAAGACGTATCCACTAGTAGATTTTGAGTTTTTAGTATCTAATATCCAATTTGCATCGTTGTACCCCTCGAGTACTGCTGGATATTTGGTATAATGTAAGCCATAGATCTGAATATGTCTTAGATACCTAAGTACCCTAATTATCGCTTTCCAATGATTGGACCTTGGATTACTTGCATACCTACTCAATTTGCTTACAACATAGGCTATATCTGGCCTAGTGCAATTCATTAAGTACATCAAATTTCTGATTATCCGAGAGTACTCTAATTGTGATATGCCTGCACCGTACTTTTTAACAAATGAAAACTAATGTCAATAGGTGTTTTACCAGGACGGTCGTTATGCTTTCCAAATTTCTCCAGAATTTTCTCAACATAGTGAGACTGAGATAAAACATATATTTCAGATGTTCTAGTAATTTTTATTCCTAGAATTGCATCTACTACTCCAAAATCTTTCATGTCAAACTTTTTGTTTAACATTGTCTTTGTGGATTTAATCATGTCATTATTGTTTCCAATAATGAGCATACCATCCACATAAAGACAAACCACGACATAGCCTTTGTATGTGCTTTTAACATAGACGCATTTGTCACATTCGTTTATTTTAAAACCATCTAAAAGCATAGCGTAATCAAATTTTTCATGCCATAGTTTCGGAGCTTATTTTAATCCATAAAAGGATTTGATAAGTTTACAAATCTTTTTCTCTTGGTCGGGAACTTGAAACCCTTCCGGTTGTTCCATATAGATTTCCTCATCTAACTTGCCATTTAAAAAAGCTGTTTTAACATCCATCTGATGTATTTCCAGATTATATAAAGCTGCAATCGCAATCAACATATGAATAGATGTTATTCTTGTCACTGGTGAATAGGTGTCAAAATAATCAAGGCATTCTTTCTGTCTGTATCCCTTAACAACAAGCCTAGCCTTTATTTTTCTATTGAACCATTTGCTTTCATTTTTCTTTTGAATATCCACTTATATCCAAGAGATTTACAACCTGGTGGAAGATCCGCCAGTTCCCAAGTATGATTTTTCAATATTGATTCAATTTCATTATTCACAGCCTTTCTCCATAATGGAGCTTCAGGACTTGACATTGTTTCCTTGAAGTTTTGAGGCTCATTTTCTAACAAGTATGTCAGAAAATTTAGACCAAATGATTTAAAGATCCTAACCCTCTTGCTACGTCTAGGTTCATCTGCATCATTATCATTATGGTCTTCACCACTACCCATAGTAGTATCAAAAGTTCTTTTATTTGAAATTGTCTTTTCAATTTTCTTGCATGGAAAATTGTGTTAAAAAAAACGACGCATTCCTTGACTCAATGATAGTGTTTACATGCATATCAGGATTTTCAGATCTATGAACTAAAAATCTATATATACTACTATTATTTGTATAACCAATGAACATACAATCAACGATTTTTGGTCCTATCTTAGTCGTTTTGGGATTAGGGATTGCCACCCTGGCCAAACACCCCCATATTTTGAGGTAATTGCAGGCAGGTCGTCAATCTTTTCATAATTCATAAAGTGTTTGATTGAGTTTCTTGTGGGGTACCTTGTTATGGATAAAATTAGCAGACAAAATTGCCTCTCCCCATAAGTTCTGATGTAACCCTGAACTAATCAACATGGCATTCATCATCTCTTTAAGAGTTCGATTCTTTCTCTCAGAAACTCCATTTGACTGAGGAGAATAGGGTGCAGTGGTTTGGTGAATAATACCATGTTCAAAACAAAATTTCTCAAATGGTGCATCATACTCACTACCTCTGTCACTCCTCACTATCTTAATATTTTTGCCAAGTTGATTTTCAACCTCAAGTTAATATTGCTTAAAAGCTTCTAAGGCTTCATCTTTATTTCTCAATAAGTAAACATAGCAATATCGAGTGCAATCATCAATAAAAGTAATATTACCACCTTTAGTTTGAACAAATTTTAAATTACAGATATCTGTGTGAATTAAATTTAGAAGTTCAGTATTCTTTCTACTTTATTAAATGATGTCTTAGTGAGTTTGGTCCCAACACAAATCTCACATTTATGATTAGGATCAAACCCTAAGTTTGGTAGACATTCTAAAGTAACAAATCTACGCAAAGAATTAAAATTAACATGTCCTAATCTACCATCCCATAAAAAAGAAGATTTCCTAATATAAATAGAAGATGTGTTCTTATTAATAATAGCCAAATTTGGTACAACAGTATTTACATTGAGCTGAAAAAGTGCATCACTTATATAACCTCGCCCCACATACATGCTACTTTTGGAGAGTACAACCTTGTCAGATTTAAAGACTAATTTAAA